ACTTATTGGTCCAACAACAAATTAATTGAAATTTGTATTATTATGCATATTCTTCGTTACATAAACTAATGAGAAACGAAAATATTTTCTTCAATTGTCAGACAGTACACTATTTTAATTATTAAGAATAACAATGGAAGCTAACTAGAAAACCTAACGGTTCATTTAGCTTCCATCCTCTAAAAATCTATATGTAAATTATGAATTCTACCTATATATATTATTAATTTCAAAAATAATTATTCTGTATTTTTCTGTCAAAGAGTGAAATAAAGTTGTATTGTATTGTATTGTATTGTATTGTATTGTATTGTATTGTATTGTATTGTATTGTATTGTATTGTATTGTATTGTAAACAATAAGCTGCTTTCCAATGCAGTGTTTTTTAAAAATCTTAAACATTTCCCACCAAATCTTTCTTTTTCTATCAAAGTACACATTGTGTCCAGTAATATACAATAGAACACACATATCCTGGCGCAAATATGCAAAAAAGTATTTGAGGCAGAACACAAAATTCCAGAATACCCCTGTCAGATGAAAATAATAATGTGTGTTAATTAGGATAAACTACAACAATGATGCTTTTCGTTATACAATTGCATCCGCGCTTGTTTTAGTTCTGCGACATAAACATAGCTATTTCATATATGATCCTAGCCTATATGCTAATTTTTCAATAGCATTCACTAACATCTATAACGGAAAGTCTTCATTCCAAACAATGGTACAATTTCCAAAAAGCCCATTAATTAGGTTAAAAATAAGCTTTTTTTCACCGTAGTCTTTTTGAAACCGTTGCACATTTCCCAGAAAATATATCTTTTCCTATCAAAAAAGTACACAACATCTGCAGTAATATACAATACAACACAAACATCATGGCACAATTATGTAAAAAAAGTATTTGAAGACATACACAAAATTCAAGCTCTGCCCATAATGCCTCAAAGTCACTCCCAGAGATACTCAGGTTATCCCTTATTGAGAATTTTATATCATCCCTCACAAACAATCCCACTCCACCCGCATTAGAAAGAGAGGAAAAATTATATTCGTCTAACTGAATATTAACAAGAGAATCAAGATCCTTTTTGATTTAGTTTCTGATAATGCAATCAAAGAGAAGCAATGTTTTAAGGGATGTTGATATTGATCAATATTTCCCTGGTAATATTAATTTTCAGTATTATTCCACAGAAATTTTTGTGTTGATCCAGATATCCAGCGGGCGCCTGCGAGGGTACTAATGCGAGGGAACCCGGGAGAACATAGCTGAATCCAAAGTTGTCCAAATTCTATGTCATGGACGGTCGACTTTGGGTGGTTTTGTAAGTTATGTGCTTGCGCAAGTAACAACTGTTAATCAACAAACATTCCGCTGGGCTAAGAAAGAAAGTTTGTATTTAAATGAGAACGTCAGCAATTTAACTGTCATTTTGTAAACCTTTTTGTTAAAGCATTTTATAAACTTTGTGCAAAATAAAAGGAGAAAAAACAATATATATGAAGCATGACAGATGGCAAAAAAGAACATGGATACAGTCAAGACAAAGCGGTGTAAGAGAAATAATTTATACTCTGCAAGCTTATAAGTGTTTTTAAAAGGTACATGTTTACTTTATTTATTTCGTATTTGTTTCGCAATAAGGATGAGGTGTATTTGTATAATTTTCAGCTTTGTATAATTTTCAGCTTTGTATAATTTTCAGCTTTTTCTGCAAACATATAAACTTGTGAAAGGCTATTACCCCTTTGCTTAAACGTCAAAAAGTGTAATTTAAATTTTTATATCAAAAATATAAACCTTTTTATAGCCGTCAACTGCATTACAGAGTAAAATAACATTTGAGGTTTATCCTTTGTCTCTGAAGATTTTGTACGATTTTAGTCGTTTGAAACTTAGATTTTAAACCATTACTTATAATTGCTGCCATGGTATAATGCAGCAAAAATGCAATGAACGGGCAATGTTTACTGTTTACACTAGCTTTACGATTATTTTTGTATTGAATGATCGAAACATTAGCTATAACATACTCGCTCGAGTTTTGTGTCATTTCATAATATAAGTTTAGGTTAGCTCAGGAAATTGTGTACTTGGTTTGAAATAGCGAGGGGTTGCTGCATGCTGTATTTTCTAGTAATATAGGTAACAATGAATTACTTTTTGTTTTGCACTGTAATATATGAAGCCTTGGGGCTAAGAAAGGGGGAACATTTGTGAGAGCCGATACAAGATCAAAACATGGTAGGTTTCTGATGAGTCATGTCAAATCAACAATAATATAAATAGTATTGACATATACAATACATATAAACGAATACTTATCATGGAACCACAGGAGACCTGGAGGTAGGTTGATATAAGTTGCCACAGTATACAAGTCATGATATTCTTTTAGTTGTTTCCTATTCTTAATTTGGATTGCCATGGGCGTACCGGCCAAAATTTTTCAGGGGGGCATTCGGCAATTTGCTCGACTAACCCAAAAATTGCCCAAACTAATTCATGTGTACACATAATACATTCAAAAGTTAATTCAACATGTCATATACCTACATATGACTGTATGTAAAGTTGTCATAGACCCCAACGACAAGTTCACATTGTCTACATCATTGGGCTTATATTGGCTAAAATCTCATATAGAAAGACTTAGTAACAAAAAATTAACTGAAAATGTTATCCAGAGGCAGTATCCGTAGTTCGTAAAAATAAACTAATGTGAATTGTCAAAAGAAATACAAATTTCTCTTTTTCCTCTTGCCGAAAATATCAATAATGTTTTCCATGTCATTCTCAAGTGTTCTGTTTGCGTAGGCACGTTCAATGCAAATAAGCGCTAGGCTGCTCAAATGGTCTTGGTGCATTGTGGAGCGAAGGTAGGTCCTTATGCGGCATAAGTCGCTGAACGATCTCTCGGCTGAGTATGACGTGGCTGGAATTGTCGTCAAAATTGAACACACTTTATAGAAAACTGGTAAAACTTCACGAAGCCCATTTTGAAGCACGAATTTCATGATGGAAGATGCATGTCTTATCTCTGCTGGGTTCTTCTTCAAAAAATTCTGGAAGATTTCTTTTTCAGCTGTAAGTATATCCATATCTAAACCGTAGAAAGAAGAAACCAACGCCAGACTCTCGGTTGGAGTATTAGTCTTGGAAACAACTTCAGCCAGGGCGCACAGGACGTCTTGATCATCACTCTGAAATCGTGTTTTCATCTCCAGGAGAACTTTGTCGAGTGTTGGGTAATATGTTGTGACGCGGTAATGGCTTTCGGCGCTTGGTTGTGATGATAAGCCAGTAAAACCACCACTGATGAATTGTTCACCAACAAGAGCTTGTAACCGACGCGATGGGTGTCTGCATCTTGGTGCTGTGGCATCTTTAAAGGAAAACGTGGTTCCATTAATTTCCCTTTTTATTGTTTGCGACAGGATCTTAGCTCTGGACCATACCATCTGGAAAGATTCTTCATTCCGGCACTTGGTCAGTGCTTTCATTGTACCGTTGGCAGTCTCCTTAGCGGTGATCACATCAACATTCTTCCCTTGCAGATATTTACTAAGGCTATCAGTATTGGAAAGGATTACCCTGAGCACCACTAAACCAAATACAAATTTAAAATCGCATTAAGCAGATTATTGCTATCAGTATACGTCTTCACATCACGATCCGACGACAAACTAAGCAATACTCTAATAATACTCAGCATTTTCTCAAACACTGCCTTAACAGCCTGCCAGCGACACGACCACCTGGTCACACTCATGGATTTGAGGGTTAGTTCCGAATGTTCGTCTTCTACTTGGATATTCTGGAATATACTGTGGCGCTTTGGGCTTGCTTAGATAAAATTATACAGACTCTGCATTGTTCCAAGAGCGTTACGAATTGGCCCAATACTGGTCATTGTATCCTGAAGAGCGAGGTTAAGGCGGTGAGCATAGCAATGGACACATAGAGCAAGCGAAGAACATTCTTTCACTTGCGTCGCTACGCCCTTATGACTTGCCGTTGTGTGCATTTTTCGTATGAATATCTCCGTAGTCTGTGTTCATTTCGCTCTGGCACTCATTGCATTTTATTCGATACTGACGATAACGCTGTTTACGAGTACAAGGTGTAGAAGACATATTAAATTAAGACAGTTACATAAAGCGGTCTACGGACGATGGTTGTTCACATGACTGAAACTTGTTAAAATCTGATGATCCTGGAATGTAAAGCATGGAAAATGGTAGCTATTCTACTTCTAATCCATAGTGCCCATAGTGCATAAAGTTAGTAAAGTTTGGATTAATGACGACGTACCGGGTCGGTCAATCCGTATCCTTAAATAAAACAAAGACATACTCTGTGTCTTTAGATTTTCTGTCCTGGCAAGGCTGGCATGTATGCTAACATAGTTAACATTATTGAGTGATTGAGTCATATCGAGCTAAAGTAGACATAAATATTACGGTGCAAATTCGGATATAATGAAAATTTGTGATCTTCACGGTTTATATAATTATATTAGTATGGTGGCCCATTGTTCTCATAAGAAAATACAGTCACTATATTATTTTTAAGTGAAAAGTTATTAAAAAAAATACTAAATTTGAAAAAAAACACAAAAATAGTTAACAGTTTTTTAAAAATTATTTAAATAAAAAAACAGAACGAAGAAAATAAAACAACAACAAAGAATTATTGATAAAATAAAATTAAAATAAAACATAAAAATTAAAATATATAGTTTGAATTAAACATTGAAAATAACAAGCAATTCGAAAGCCAAAATCCGAAATGAAGATGAAATTGAAACGAGATATCGTTGTAGAATGACTATGAAAACACTGGGCCACACATTGGCCCATCGTTCTCATAGTATTTCAAATTAAAACTGAAATAGTTTGTCACTGGCCCAGTATTCTCATAGCCTGCGACGTTTTTGGTCAGCTGCATGTTTCCCGCGCAACAAATATAAACAAGAAGCAGCAAGCCAATATGGCGGAACGCATAAGAAATCCAGATTGGGAAGAAGATGCTGAGTTAAAACAAGATTTGAACCGATACGTACTTCAGAATTTGTCTAGACGGGAGATATTAGATTTTGTTTCCAGGGATTATGCTCAGTATGCATGGAGTTTAGGTACTCTGAGCAGGAGATTAGCATTCTTTAATATTAAGTACGTTGAGTACAATACCAACTTGAATGATGTCGTGACGGCAGTACAGAAAGAACTCGAAGGGCCAGGTCAGTATCTTGGTTATCGTTCGATACATCGCAAGATACGGGAACAGCACAATCTGGCAGTACCTCGTAATTTGGTGTACGATTTAATGACCGAATTTGATCCAGAAGGCCTTGAACGAAGAGGGAATGTAGGGGTAAAAAAGCACAAAAGAGGAAATGCTGGTACTTTCACATCCATGGTAAGACTCTTTCTGTGCAAATGATGTTCATGTGGTTAAAATTTCTAGCACATAACATAAGGCCAGTTCCACTGATATTAAAAAAATTGTTTGCTTGCAGTAATTTACCAAAATAGTTTAATTATTTTTCCATATTAAATAAATTGTCTTGCTGTGGTTTTATTTATTATCTGGTGATGTTAACAAATTTGGTGTAATATTTTTCATTCACTGCAGGGACCAAACCACACTCATTCTGGAGATGGCCATGATAAATTACTGGGATACATGAATTACACATTCCCTTTGGCTGTATATGGCCTCCAAGATGCTTATAGTGGTTATATACTGTACCTAAAGTTATGGACGTCGAACTCAGATCCCAAAATTGTTGGAAGGTGGTATTTAGAGCACTTGTATAAGTCAAAAGGTGAGAATTATGTGCATGAATAGTATCTAATTATTGTGCTCTTGCAATGACATTGGCCCTGTAGCATAACATCAAGTAATGTCTCAATCAATTCCACATGTCTCTACACGGGATTTGTAGACAGCTCATATGCCTAGCCATGGAAATGTATGCCTTACAAATGCCCAAAAGGGGTGGGCCCTCATAGAATTGATTTGTATTTTGTATAGTTTTGGGCAAATGATAGTCGAAAATAACCAAAGGTTGGCAAGCTTGAAATCTTGACAAGCTGTAAGATGTGAAAATACCTCATTTGGTGGTGTGTTGAGAATGAAATGCCCCCCCCCCCCAAGCCCACAAATTTTTAAGGTTTTGTACTAACTAGAGTTTGAAGGATAAGTATTAGTACTTCAGGGAAATATTATTTAAGGCTTCATTTTTTACAAAGACTGAAACTGTGCACTTTGCAAACCCTAACTCTGTCTATTTCTAGTCATAAGTGATAATCTAAGACTTGACAAAGGAACAGAGACCGGGCATATGGCCACAATTCATTCCTACCTAAGGCAACAAGGAGATGAAGATATTAATGGAGCAGAGACTGTTCATTATGGTCCATCCACAAGTAATAAAGTATGTATACTATTTTGCATGTGGATTTAATTAAATGTGGTTAAGGGATAGTCCCTGAGGAAGTTATCTGCTCTATACAATATACAGATTGAGAGATGGTGGCGTGAACTCCATAACCGCTTTGAACGGTTCTTTAAGAGACAGCTAATGATGTTGCTGGAGAGAGGACATTATGATCCAAACAATGAAACTGATAGGTATGTTTTAAAGCAGGGCCATTTTGCTCAAACATGTTAAGTATAAAGTATGTTGTTGCTTCAATTGATTTGACCTCAATTGATCCCTCTTTTTTTACTACTTTGCACTTAGAAACTTGTTGGCATTTGTATATATACCTGTGGTTCAGAAGGAAATGGATATATTTAGGGAAACGGTATGGAATTCACATAGAGTGAGATACCAAAGACATACCCAGTTACCCAAAGGAATACCTAACCATTTATATTCATTTCCACAACAGTATGGAGCAGAGGACTGTGGTAAACACAATTTATTTGTGCCATACATGTATCTTTTACTCATATAAACCATTTTGCAACACTACTGACAGTGATTGACTTAAGTGTCATTGCATAACAGATGTATTTAGGACAGATAGGTATGGTCCTGCAGTATAGTTACCAATATTACGTCAAAAGCAATCATATTCTATATTTAAATATTATATAGGGTGATTATTCATCGATGATTTTAATACACATTTAATATTTATTACTTTTTCTGCAATATGAACAGGTTTGCCAGTAACACATCAAGCACTTGATGAAGTGGCAGAAATTTCAGGAGTGATGGATGTGGGGGATGATTTTTTGTCGCATAGTGTAAGGAGAGAATGTGAAAGAGTCATACCCAACATTGAGAATATGAAAGCTATTGATGCTGCTGATACATATCTATTCCTGAAGGCTAATTACCAACAGCCACCACCACAATAACAGTTGGTTTAAAAGTCACTAGGCTGAAAAAAACCACTTTAGAAAACATTCAAGTTTTTCTTAACATTAAAATAAATACATCAAAAATGAGTACTTAAATCTTAAAAACTCAAAGTAGAATTTAACAAATGATACAATACCCATACCTGTATGCCTAATCCAAAAAATGGCCTATCCAGTAAAGCCTAACAAAAAATTCCTGTGGTCCCCTTATTTTTTCTGCAAACCCTACTGTTTCTTTGACATGCTTAAGCTGTTTGATTACTGACCCTATTTTTTTGCTGGTTGTCTATTGCTGATTGCCCATTGCTGATTGCCCAGATATTGATTCTTGAAGTGTTTATGCATTGTGGCTACCTTAATCTATCACAGCTTACTGACCTTTAAGACAATTTACTGATTTTTTTTTCATAATGAGAAACTGAAACCACAGGATTTTTTTGTAAAAATTTGATGAGTGACACATGGCTTCACACGCAGCAATGCGTCATGTAACTTTGTATGAAGTAAACATGTTTATTTAATTATTTACTTGATTTTGGATTAGGTATGGTTAGGATACTCATGTATATAACCAAACCATAACTAGAAAGTTTTCAAACAGTTAATTTTTGAAATAGTTCAATAATAGTTCAATAAGTATTGCTATATGTTTACCTCAATTTAGTTTCATCATCTCGCAATAATTATTGCATTGATGCTCTGACATAAATGTCTCAATGCCAACAATGGAGCAATTGCCGCAACAAAAGTAAACTTCATGACGTTCTTGATCCATAATTTCTTCAGTTGCAATTTCTGGGTCATACAGTGTGGACTCAGATCCCTGAATATCAAGCAGCATGAGTTTGTGATCAGTAATTGCATAGCTATAGTGAACCAGACATTGCGCTTTCGCATATAAATCCTTAAGAACCTGGGTGGCATCATCTGGAATAGAAACACACTTTCCGTTGTTGTTAATATACTTTACAAAGTCGCCTGAAACATATTCTTCGATCGTGGCGTGCTGGCCATCAAAATTTGTATAGTAGCACCGATTGTAGCGGAAACACTGCCCAAATTCAGAAGGTGCTTTCCTCTCAAATTTGCTGGCAATGTGTCTTGCCGCTGTGTGCATCTGGACTTGTTTTCTGCAGTGATCTTCCGCAGATGACTTTACTGTATCAATTATTGTGGTTTTTGCCTTCTGGTTATAGGTCTTAATAACCCACTTCTCCCCATGCATGGCGGTAACATGGAAGGCATCTCGAAATGCACCAGAAGAAAATTTTTGACACTCTACTTCACATTCAACATTCATTGCATTCTTCCATGCACCTGATTCAATATCAAATTTTTCAAAGTTTAGTACAGCCTTTTTTGAAAATCTTGGTTGCACTAGTTTTCCTGCATTTAGTAACGTCTCAATTGATACTGATGCAGGAAACTGGGTTTCGGGGATACTTGGCTTTGGGCATACAGGAGGGTCATCCACGCTCCATACCTGCCTCTTGTGATGACCAGGTAATGGTAAACTTTTTGAGCTACTGCTACTTTTTTCCCATGGCAATTCTGAATTCTCTTCTTGCTCTTGAAGAACCACAAACCTCACCAGGTAAACCTATTGAAAAGAGAGAATTTTGTTCACATAACATAAAAATGTTATTGTAGAAGAGAGTCAGTGAAGTTGGAGGGAGGGTAAATTAAGTTATAAAAAAAGGGGAAATTGTAACTTGAATTATCCTAAATCTTTTAATAAAATTGGACTTTAAGTCTATAACAACGTGAACATTATTTTGGGGGTGAAGATTCTTGTCGAACACATTGTATTTGGTTAATTAGGAGGTAATGCAAAGCTTCATCCCTAACAATTTCTCCATCCAGACCACCACCAACAACAGTCTATTAATGGCAATTAATAAGTATCTTTGGGTTGGATGTTCTTTACAAAATTCATACTGTAACTATTAAACTGCCTATATTATATATAACTAATATAAAGCCAATGATATGAGTGTGTGAGGTGACCTCCCCAAGGAACTGCTTTTGACTCCCAAGAATGGCATAAAGTGAGCCTACAATATGGTCAATTTCCAATCTGAAATTATTAACAAAGTTAATGTTGTAGGTCCCCGCGCAGCGCCGCCAGTTCCGCGTGTAACAGTTACGTGAGCACTTTATGTAAATATAGTTTAGTTGTTTGTAAATACGTCACAAGGACACATTGTTGATTCGGCACAAAGACACGTTGTAATGTAATATAGCACTATTAATTAACGCTTGCATTGAATTTTGATACAACTTTTGAGTCAGATCGTAGAGGAAGCATGAACTCACGGCTCACGCTGTAAATAGAATCTTTAAATAAACGATAGAATACAGTCCCCTGAGTGGTTTTTTGCGTGGACCAGTGTGCGCGGGATCGATTGGGGATTCTGCAAAACAGTGGTCCTTCGAACCGGATTTGTGAAAGGTGAACGAGGCTGCGGACAAAGAGCGAGTGATATTTGCGCTGCCGTCGTGTGTAAAAGATTTAGCGTGAAGTGGAACAACGAAAGGTATGGACGATCTGACGAGGAAAAGACGGGTGAGAGGAGCTCATAGAGCTTCGGCTAGTAAACTTGTAGCGAAGATAGTTGAAACGATTCCGAGAGCGATTGACGAGAAAGCAGAAAGGGATTTGACATGGCTGAGACAAAGCCAGGTCACGTTACGAGAGAAAGTCAAGAGGTTAAAGGAACTCGATGAACAGATCATTGACATACTAAGCGCCTCGGGAGATGAAGACGCCGAAGCACAGCTCAATAAAGAGGTCGAAAGTTCAGACGAAGCGGTCGCAGAATTTGAAAGGACATTGATGAAAATCGACGACGCGCTGCGGGAATCCGGTGAACAAAGACTGCCATTGTTGACGACGCCAGACGAAGGAAACCTAGACCAGAGCCGTATATCGACAGCCAGTACGGGAAAGATCGTCAGAGCAAAGCTTCCGAAACTAAAGCTTAAGAACTTCAACGGTAAAGTATGTGAGTGGCCCGAGTTTTGGGAAGGGTTTTCAAGCTCGATAGACAACAATGACGCATTGTCTGACGTTGACAAGTTTGCATATTTGCGCGGATATTTGGAAGGACCAGCGAAGTCTACAATTGCCGGATTAGCGTTAACAGGGACAAACTACAACTGTGCAGTGGAATTGCTTAAGAAACGGTTCGAAAAGAAAAGCATAGTTCAACGAGCACATGAATGAACTCATACAACTGCCGGCAGTTTACAAAGAAAGGGACACGCAGAGACTACGGAAGTTGTTTGACAGCTGCGAAACGAATAACCGCGCCTTGAGAGCCCTGGGGGTGAACGAGAACTCGTATTCCGCTATTGTTGTTCCGACGATCATGGAGAAGCTGCCCGAGCAGTTTCGCTTGACTATTACGAGAGGGCAGAACTTCCTGGAGTGGTCAATGGAGGAAATGCTACAAGCCTTTGAGAAAGAGCTCGAACTACGTGAAGCGCACGATGCGGTGGGATCGAGGTCGGGTCGAGAGTACGAAAGAAACGATGGGAGTTCGGCGTCGGGTAGAAAATATGGTCAACAACATGGAACTGCATCCACGTTAATAGCGAGTGAAAGGGGGAAACTGTGCTTTCTGCCTGAAGATCCACAAACACGAGAACTGTGAGGGAGTAAAGGATCCGAAGACACGAAAGAGTTTGGCTCGCAAATACAGATTAGATGTTTTGTTTGTTTGTCTAAGGGTCATAGAGCCAGTAGTTGTAAGGTCGAGAACAAATGTAGTGTTTGTGATGGGGCTCATCATGTTGCACTGTGCGAAATGAGTCCTAAGAGCGAGGGTAAGCATGACGAAATACCCAAGCCTAATGACGAATGTAAAAACGTACCCAATAACACGAATGTGCATGTGACTACTCCTAATAGTAACTTGCATGCTGGAACTGGTAGCCTGGTTGCCTTGCAGACTGCACGTGGCGTTTTAAGGGGGGAAAGGGTGGTTAAGGTGCGGGTCCTCTTTGACGCGGGAAGTCATCGTTCCTTTGTTACTTCCAAAGCAGCTGGTCTCGCGAATCCCAGGGGTATAAGAAGGGAATTGTTAGGAATTAATACGTTCGGTCAAAAATGCGTAAAAGCCGAGCACAGGGAAGTGGTTGAATTAAAGCTTGAACCTCTTAACGGAAATAAGGTTATCACACTGGAAGCATTTGTAGTGCCGGAAATATGTAGCATAGGAAATAGCCATGTAGAGATAGCGCGGAGGGAGTATAAACATCTGGAAGGTATATGGTTTTCAGATGTTTCTAAGTCAGAAGATGAGTTAGAAGTAGATGTTCTGATAGGGGCAGACTACCTTTGGAGCTTTCAGACAGGGACAACCAAGAGAGGTAAATCAGGAGAACCTGTTGCTATAGAAACAGAATTAGGGTGGGTTTTATCAGGACCGCTGAGAGTACAAGACATTGAGAGAGCGGAGCCAGTCCAAGTGAATTTTGTAGCACAGAGATTGAGTAGTGAAGACAGTTTGGAGAGTAATGTGCAAAAATTATGGAGTTTTGAAGGGTTAGGCATTAGTGAGGAAGATAAGGTACATGAAGAGTTTTTAGATGAAATATCATTTACAGGAAGTAGATATTCAGTCAAACTGCCCTGGAAGGAGAGCCATAAGAAATTGCCTGACAACTATGCAAATAGCTTAAGTAGAATGAAGGGTCAGCTGCGACGACTGAGGAAAGAGCCAGCATTGTTAGCAGAGTATGATTCTATCATCAGAGACCAGGTAGAGCGAGGGATAGTGGAGCCAGTATCTGCATTAGAGAAGGTTGAAAGGGTTCATTATTTACCACACCAGGCAGTAATTCGCAGGGAGGCAGTGACCACTAAACTCCGGATCGTCTATGACGCATCATCCAAGGAAGGTAAGTCTGGGACATCGCTTAACGACTGCCTACATGTTGGGCCTTCTCTCAATCCATTATTATACAGCATATTAATACGGTTCAGAGAAAATAGGATTGCTTTAGTTGGTGACATAGAAAAGGCATTTTTGAATGTTGAAGTAGATAAGGCGGATAGAGATTGTTTGAGATTTTTGTGGGTCAATGATATAGAAAGTGATAAGTTGGAGATAGTTGTTTATAGGTTTTGTAGAGTAGTTTTTGGAGTGAATGCATCACCATTTCTATTGAATGCAACCTTAAGGCATCATTTAACAAAGTATAACGAAATCGATGCTGCATTTGTAAGAAAGTTGCAGGAAAGTTTTTACGTTGACGACCTGGTCAGTGGTGAGAGTACGGTAGAGAAGACCTTTGAACTTTATGATAAGGCTAAGACAAGAATGGCACAAGGGGGTTTTAAATTAAGGAAGTGGTTGACCAACAGTGAGGTGTTAAGGAGTAAACTAGAGATTCACGAAAAAGATCAGGGTTCGTCAGAACAAAGCATCAATGATCAGGAAACATATGCTAGGTTATCTTTAGGAGCAGTAGGGGGTGAGTCAAAGGGCCATAAGGTTTTAGGGCAGGTGTGGGATAACCACAAGGACGAACTGAAATTTGAAATTTCCAAGGTGGGAGAAAAGGCAGAAACGTTATCGCCAACAAAGCGGAACCTCCTGAGCATTTTAGCCAGTTTGTTCGATCCTCTAGGGATAATAAGTCCATTGATAGTTAGTGCCAAGATCTTATTCCAGGAGGTTTGTAATAGTAAGACGGGTTGGGACGACAGCTTTAAGGAAGAGCCTTTAAGAAAGTGGGAAATCTGGTATAGGGATTTGATTGAGACCAAGGAAATCACTATTCCTCGATGCATATACCAACATCCAGCGGAAGAGGTTTTAGGGTGCACATTACATGGGTTTGGCGACGCTAGTAAGAAAGCATATTGTGCGGTAGTATATGTTGTTTATTATACAAATGTAGGAAGTTATGTCCGCATGTTAACATCAAAGGTAAGAGTAGCACCTTCTTAAAACAACTAGCATTCCAAGGTTAGAGTTAATGTCTGCGAGGCTCTTAGCGCAGTTACTAAAGTCAGTGAAAGATTCATTAGAAAACCAGGTTAGTATAGATAATACGAAGTTGTGGCTTGATAGCATGACAGCACTCTACTGGATAATGAACAACGGTGAGTGGAAACAATTCGTCCGCCACAGAGTAAATGAAATCCTGAAATTAACAAACAAGGAGGATTGGGGACATTGTCCTGGGGTGGAAAATCCGCAGATTAGGGTCTAGGGGTGTAGTTGCTTCACAATTGAAGGATAACAAGCTATGGTGGGTGGGGCCTGATTGGCTTATTAGGTCTAAGGAGGAGTGGCCAAATTTGAGGCTGCTGCCAAAACAAGTACGGTCTTAGAAGAAGAACGAAAGTCTTCCGTAATGGTCGTAGCTAGTAGTAAAGAGTTAGCTAGTATAAGCAAAGTGATAAATCTGGAGGATTATGGGACAGCGGAACGACTTTTCAGAGTAACAGCATGGGTACTTAGGTTTGGGTTCAATGCACGAGCAAAGTCTAAGGGCATGGAAAAGCGCTGTGGAGAATTGACAGTAGAGGAGCTTGACGAGGCGGAAAATAGATGGATTAAACAGGCTCAGGCAGAGTTAAAGGAGGCTAAAAAGTACGCCCAGATTAGTAACAGTCTAGGCTTGATGGAAGAAGGAGGTATCATAAGATGTAAGGGTAGACTGCGTAACTCTGAGCTAGAGTACAACACGAAACACCCAATCATTATTCCCAAGGATAATAGATTAACTGAGCCTGATTGTCAGAAAATGTCACAGTGAAGTGCACCATTGTGGAGTTAGGGCAACCTTGGGCAGGCTAAGGACGAAATATTGGGTCGTGAAGGGAAGGCAAATGGTAAAGCGAGTTATAGGTAAATGCGTCACCTGTAAGAAATTAGAAGGAAGGGCATATGGGGGGAGACAGATGGCAGATTTACCAGGCTTTCGAGTGAAGGAAGCTGCTCCTTTTTCTAATGTGGGAGTAGATTTTGCAGGTCCATTGTTTGTTAGGTGTTGCACCAAGGCATCCAAGAAGGCGTATATCGCATTATTTTCCTGTTGTGTGACTCGAGCAATACATTTAGAGCTAGTGCGTGATTTGTCTGCGGAGACATTTCTGTGTTGCATGAGAAGATTTGCAGCGAGGAGAGGAATGCCGAGCCTAATAGTGTCAGACAACGCCAAGACGTTTAAGGCAGCAGAGAGAGCAATAAAGAAGTTGTTTAATCAACCTAAAGTAAAAGCAGAATTATTAACGAAGCGAGTAACTTGGAGGTTTAACTTAGAAAGATCGCCTTGGTGGGGAGGGTTTTTCGAGCGAATGGTTAGGAGTGTTAAACGATGCCTCAGGAAGGTTTTAGGCAATGCCAAATTAACAGTAGATGAACTTAACACAGTATTAGTAGAGATAGAAGGCACATTAAATTCCAGACCATTGACAGAAGAATATGAAGAATTCGAAGGCGATGTATTAACGCCATCACACTTAATTTACGGAAGAGCAATTAATTTCATACCACGGAGGGAGGTAGCTAGGGAGGAAAGTAGTTGTGGAGAAAGATTCAAATATATTACAATGAAATTACAACATTTCTGGACCAGATGGCAAAGTGAGTATCTCATAGGGTTACGAGAATTTCATAAAAGTGGTAATCGAAAGGCAAGAAGTTTGAAGGAGGGCGAAGTAGTTGTAGTTTATGGAGAGGGAGAGAAGCGAGGCAAGTGGAAACTAGGGAAGGTAGAGCAGCTAATTTTAGGAAATGACAGCGAGGTTAGGGGTGCTAAGTTAAGAATAGCAGGAAAGGGTAAACCAGTTTACCTGAAAAGACCGGTGCAGAAACTTTACCCGTTGGAAATTCAAGCTCGACCGGGTGGGAACGGGACGGAAGGGAATTCCCCTTCAGGTGAGGCAGAGGGTTCCTTGCATGATCTGCATGAGCGTCCGAGACGAGCTGCTGCTGAGATTTCAAAAGCGAAGACAAGGGCGATGCTTGATTCATAGACGTGTATGAATCAAGGTGGGTGGGATGTTGTAGGTCCCCGCGCAGCGCCGCCAGTTCCGCGTGTAACAGTTACGTGAGCACTTTATGTAAATATAGTTTAGTTGTTTGTAAATACGTCACAAGGACACATTGTTGATTCGGCACAAAGACACGTTGTAATGTAATATAGCACTATTAATTAACGCTTGCATTGAATTTTGATACAACTTTTGAGTCAGATCGTAGAGGAAGCATGAACTCACGGCTCACGCTGTAAATAGAATCTTTAAATAAACGATAGAATACAGTCCCCTGAGTGGTTTTTTGCGTGGACCAGTGTGCGCGGGATCGATTGGGGATTCTGCAAAAGTTAATCTTGGCAATCCTAACACTAATGCTATTTGTAATTCTAACCAGAATCCTAATCATAAACCTTATTGAATATTGGCCCTAATAATACTTAATTTCAGATAAGTAATATGGGAAGTCACCTGTATTGTTAATCTAGTATTTGGGGCCTCCTTTTCTGAAATAGAACAAGGTGCATTGTGCCTGATTGTGGTATTGTTTGGTACAAAATACTTAATTCATCATGTTTTATATGGAGTTGTTTGCACTGAAGCTAGACCAGAATGCACCTTGTTCTATTTTAAAAAAGGCCTGTGTGGCACCTGTCAAAAGTAATTTTATATTTGCTGATCAAGAAATTGAAGAATAAAAGGAAAAAACATAGCTATACCGCAGCAGCATAAAAATGAAGCTTTAATAAATACCTTGTCTTTTCGGTGAGGGATCTGTGCTATATTCGAGCACGATGGTCCTTTATTTGAGACCAAAATATCACATGTGCTAACTGGCAGGTTAAAATGGGCAGCACAAGCCTTCTTCAAGTTATGTAAACTTAAGTCTTCATGTGGAAATTCCACAAATTCTCTCGGCTGAACAGGCCTATAAGTTTGTTTGGAGTCTGCTTCTGCAGCAAGTCTCTGTACTATGACTTCACTCGGAGCTGATCCCTTCTTCTTTCGACTAGACATTGCATCACCAGATTTCCTTCTTTTGTCGCTCATCTCCCCTTGTAAACGGTCCCAAGTCACTTGCCTTCGCTTCATTGTTCTTTATAGGTATTTGGAAGCTTACAGTTACTAAAAAGATCTTTCGAAATCTACAAGTTCGAAGTGCATTTGTGTGGCTTGCGAACAATAAAAAACACAATATTTTGGCGGGAAAGGGAAACATTTCGCGGGAAACATGCAGCTGACCAAAAACGTCGCAGGCTATGAGAATACTGGGCCAGTGACAAACTATTTCAGTTTTAATTTGAAATACTATGAGAACGATGGGCCAATGTGTGGCCCAGTGTTTTCATAGTCATTCTACAACGATATCTCGTTTCAATTTCATCTTCATTTCGGATTTTGGCTTTCGAATTGCTTGTTATTTTCAATGTTTAATTCAAACTATATATTTTAATTTTTATGTTTTATTTTAATTTTATTTTATCAATAATTCTTTGTTGTTGTTTTATTTTCTTCGTTCTGTTTTTTTATTTAAATAATTTTTAAAAAACTGTTAACTATTTTTGTGTTTTTTTTCAAATTTAGTATTTTTTTTAATAACTTTTCACTTAAAAATAATATAGTGACTGTATTTTCTTATGAGAACAATGGGCCACCATATATTAGCCCAAGTCTAGGAATTCATAACGCACAAATGTACAATTATACATGTACACAACAATGCCACTCAATTTATATGTTTTAGCATGTATATAAATATAATCCTACTGTTGATATTCATATCTATAATCTATTTTACTATTTGCCTTTGTTCGACTTACCTGCCTATACGGTTGTGATTATGTTTTGCTGCTTTTGAATTCCAAACTGGATAATTTAATAATAATTCACAAAACTCAATATTCAAAAT